GAAATAGTTCTACAACTATTTTTGCACTAAAAACACTTTGAATGCCCAACCAAACCGGAGTTATACCAGTTGAAGGTTTAAAATTCAAAATGAGGACAAACAAAATTTCAAGTGCTAAAAGGAAAGAAATAAAAATGCTAAAGAAAAAAGTAAAAAAATCAGCTAAAAGTGCTAAGAAATAAAATCAGCAGGATCTGCAGTTAGAAAATAATGTCGAGTAACTTCCTTAGTAAGCATGCAATTTGGAAGATGAAAATTCTCAATTTTGAAACGTAACTTCACCCTGTCGCCTGCAAAACGACGAAAAGACGTCCGTGATTTCCAGAAAATTTGTATTTCAGCGGTATAAATTTGACAACCTTCGGCTGTTGTTATGGCGTTTTTGCTTAGCGCGGGGGTTTTCCGGGGGTCTTCTGCCCATCCCTACCCGGCGACGCGGCGGCGCTACAACGAGACGGCACTTATCCAGGTGCTCCGCCGGGCGTATGTGGTGGTGAGTTCATTATGCTCCACTCGTATTTAATTATCAGCTCTCCAACTCGCCGCGCCTGTGTCATCTCCACTTTTCGACGCTCCTCTAATGTAACAGCTCACCTCTATTTCCTGGTGAGCCACAGCAACAATGGTGTTATGCGGAAAGCATGGCTCATCGAAACGTGGAAATATGACCTGACGACAGGACAGCGACGTTTTTTGCGACCTCGACGCACGGGCGAGGGATTTTCTCGTCGCGGGACGGAATAAACCGCAGCGACTTTTTTAATATGCGCGGCGGGATAAATAAAAATATACTGTGCAAAATTCGCTCCAGCACTCGTCTTCACGGGTCATTTACTGTAGAATATTTTGATGATGAGCCCAAAAACATCCTCAGGTTGAGAGAAATATTTTTTCATGTTTTCAAAATGCAGCAGAATGGAGAATTTGCATGCAAATTTTTTATTGCTTCATCTGAAAGTGCTTAAAGAGCTGATTTCACAATATTTTATATAATTTGTTCTATTACAGGAATTAGTATAAAAATAGAATTAAAAATGAGAAAATACACCACCTAGTCATGTCATCTGGTGGCATTTCCCAATTAAATACATGTATTGTAGCAGATTAGATCATTTTGTCGTGTCTCCTCGAATAATTGCTCAATTCATGAACCGAGGGTATCCTCGTGTTCAGTTTACTCAATAGTTCCTACTTAAACACGAAATTCACAAAAGTTCAGACGCTTGCAAATTCTCTATTCCCGATGCATATTTCAGAAACGTTAATTTTAGAAATTATCGTATGGCATGCAAGAATAATTAATATAATGAAATATAAACGTCACTCCAGCACCGGTTTTCCTATCAGTTATTTTGAAATATACATTGATGGTGAGCCCCAAATTCTCTTGGTTGAACGGCGGTTGTTTCAAACATTTTGAAAATTCTGCCAGAATAATCATGATCTTTTTTTGAATATATCATCGTACGTTTAAATTCTGTTAGCTTATTCAATATACTATGGGAGCAATCCATAGTAAGTTTCATAACATGATATAGGTTGGGTTTTGGCAAACTGGATAAAACATAAGAGAAAATTAGACTCCGAGAAAATCAGGTATAAGATCATCTGGCATCATTCTGGTTAAATCATTTCAGTCCACCGCAGTTACGGTGCTGAGCGTTATTCTAACGATGAGATTCGTGCCTCGATATGGAATGTAGTGGAGGACCGGAGAGAGAAATCGTGAAAAATAACGTGCCCTAAACGGATACACTCCTACTCGCCGGGTCAGGTTTGAGCTCCTTATGATTAAGTCATAAGATCGAGCGATTAGAATAAAAATGGGGAGTGAGCACGCCGATTTGTGAGGAACACGAGAACCACCTCTCGAAACTGTTTCGTTGGAAAATATCGTTTTACGTTTGTAATTTAACAGTGTACGTGGGAATTTATGGCGAAATTAGCCCACAAGTGGGTTCCACGGCGCTTGTCACGTTAGATGGCGGATAAAAATTATTATTTTTATGATTCATTCCTTCGACTGGCAGTTTATTTTATGGTCTCGTTTTTATCATTCGTAACGCTCCGAGAAATTTAAAAATAGCACTTCAACCCTTATTTAGGTCTTCAAATCCTCGCGTTTGGTGAGGGGTTTAGTCCCCTCTCTCCTCCTCCTCCATCTTTATCCGGTTACTTTTTATGTGCGATGATCGTAAATCTTTTCGTCTAGTTTCTCTATTACGTGGCGGAATTCCACGGAGCTTCTACTTTATAAGAGAGGTTTCCACTCACTTGAAAGGAATGCGGGATACAATGTAAAATGCATATTTCATACTGGAGAGCATCAAGCGACGAGTCGGAGTAATCCTCTCCTTTTACATTCCTAAAATAATACCAAGGGCTTAAGAATATTTTATGAGGATTCCGAAGTTTAAAGTTCCATCGCGTCTTGAGAAGATCACCTAATTAATATTTATTTTAACAAAACTCATCCTAGAGTTACCTTGCATTTTACACGGTGAACCATCGCAAGGTGTGCAAAAGGGTTCTATTTCTCGATATTAATTATCAAAAAAATATTGCTTTGTTGCCTACTGATCAATAATTTAATTTATTGACGAATGGTTGGAATCCGGATCCATATACCTAAAAATTCAATCGTCAGGATTGCGTCGAAGTAGTGGATCGAGTCAGTCAAAGAGGCCGGACATGAAATTGTTGACTAAAACTGTACATTTTGATGTTTATTTCGTCAAATTTTGACTATTAAGAGATGTTAATAGGAGAAAATTTCATGAAAAACCCGATGAAACCACTTTTAGAACCTTCAAATTTGGTATAAACGAAGTCATAAGTGTTTAAAGTTTCTTAATTTTGTCCAACCCCTCCCATTGACTCAATCTACTGTGCAACGGCACGGGAGATGATGGCTGCGTGATTGACCATTTTGCATGAAATCATGACGAAACAATTTCTAATAGGTTATGGTCTTGTGTAAAAAATGGCAGAGGAAAGGTTGCCGAAGAAGCACCTGGATTTAGTTCGTTACGAAAAAGGTGCAGAGGGCAACCAATTAGAGGGTGTAAGGATGGGATTGATGCAGAATGTTAAGGTAATAGATTCCCGAGGGGTTGTGGTTCGATTTGAGACGGTGGCGGTCATAACTGTCGTGCAGCACCAGATATGTTATGAAACGAAATCTACATGTATATTTTTTAAAACGAACTTCATTTGCGAAAATACCGTGCCTCTTACAAGAATTATTTATGCAACGTACCTATCTACATGAGTAAAATTAGCTAAAGGTAATACCAGGAATTTCAGCATTCCTGTCTTTTGTATATGAAGAAAATCGAAGTTTTTGAGACTACAAAAGGTCAAATATTTTTTTGAAAAAACTCTGATATTTTTTTTTTTCGACCCGGATTTATCTCTCGTTTCCCACTACCAGATTACGTGCTCGAATGCCGGTTTCTGGTCACGTGGAAGACCTGATTCCTGCACCTGACCTCAATTGATGGAGATGGAAAAGTCCAAAACTCTGGAGAATGAAAGAGAGGTGGAAAAATAAATCAACATTCGTTTCTGTTGAGGTTCACTTTCCGTTGCGGAAGGGAGAGAGGCGTAGGCTAATTAAAGGGGGCTAATTTGGCATGCTCGGAGTCGAACCCCTTTCGTTTTACTGTGGAGGATAGCATTCGTCCAGACCGCACGTTGGTTGCTTCACACCGCCTAATTGATATTCCGCGGTGGTTTCAGGGAGTGAAACGTGGTATCTCACTGAAAACGCAACTGAGAAAGTATTTGCTATTAGAGCAATTAATTCTTACTATGTTCGGTCCGGAATATTCTACTTTGTTGGTGTGTTCATTGCCTGATAGGAAGTCTTGAACAGCCAAACTGTTTTGAGAAATCGAACAGAGTGGTAGGATTATTTGAATCGCATTTTGCAAAAAAGAACCAGCGCGATTATGGTGTTTTCAAAACTGTGCAACTTCTACCTCTCTTTTGAAATTACTTAATATACGTACAGTATTCAAATTTACACAATTATTTTCCTTTAAAATTAAGAATTTTTTTGGTGTGAGGAAAAAATATTTGCTATTCTGGATGATTCTTCAGATAATTATGAAGAAACAAAATTGTTACAACACTATAATAGCGCTGGTCCCTTTTTGCTAACTGCGATCTATTTGTCATTTTTGTTCCAAGATACACAAGATTGCTGGATTTACAACCAAAAGGGATGGACAAAATCCAATGTCTCGAAGGAGAGCGTGTCTATAGGTGAGGTTGGAAACGACGTTGGAACTTTAAAAGTGCTGCAAAGATTCACCTCAACAACGGAAGATTCACAAGATTCACTCCTACAACGGAATATATTTTCTCTCATAGGAAAAATACATTTCTGGACCTAGGAGAAAAAAAAGAAGGTGATTGCGAGTCAACTATTCGCAGCCGCGCGCGGCGAGCGCCTACAAACCTAACAGGGATACTTCACGCATTGCGTAATGCGTGAAATATCCCGTTAGGTTTGTAGGCGCCAGTGCACGGTTTGCGCTGGCAGCACGCCGCTCTACTCTGTGATAGACTCTAATATTTAAACTAGCGGAATTAGCATTTTTCAACCCCCTCCAAAATTTCCTCGCTCAAAACATCCATTCTTTAAGCTCAGATGATCCAATAGTAGTCACCGAAATGTTATAACTCTTTTAGCAATTATATTTAAAAATTTAAGATGAATTTCTGGTCCCCTACGTAAATAGTCTGGTTGCTGATTGTCGTAAACTAACTAACTAACTATCATATGTTGCCGCCACTAAAATTAGCGGTGTTCCATATGAGCCACTAATTGGTTTAAGCCATGGATTTTTCTCCGTGCTGACCTCCCTCCCCTTGTAACGTAGCGTAACGCAGGCTCACTCATCCCCCCCCCCTCCGTCGGAGTGTTAATTTATGGAGGTCCCCTTATAGCGTAGGGATTTAAATAGAATAAGACGAAGGAATGGTAATCTTACCTCAAGGCCTTGCTCCTTTTTGAGGCCGCCGCCGCCGCTGCCGTGGGAGCTCTGGACGGTGTTCATTTTGGACTAGGAAATCGGAGCCAGGGACTCACACCCGCGACGCGAATTCACCGGAAAGCACCCAGGGACATTTCCTCGGCAAATAGAGCGCTGCCCGGACTCAAGGCGACTCAAAGGCCTCTCGCAGCCATGGCCACTCGCGTTCCCTTGTCAGGCGCTCACTGCGAATTCCTCCACGATTCCGTCCGCCGCGCCGCGCCTTTGCCCGAGCAACTTCAAAAATGAGGAATGCGATGCAAATCCGCCACCCGAGAGCTCCTTCCCTGCTCAGATTCCCGGATCCTCCCGCCAAGTTCCTGCATGGCCAGAGAGAGGAACAGAGCCAGCCGATGGGACAGTCAAACCGCCAGTCCAACTCAAACCTGCAATCAAACGGTAAAGCTTTGTTAGATAGACAGAAAATAAGGTGACTCACAAAATCAGAAGATGCAAATACGCTGGGAAAAAAATCGCTTGGATTTGGAATCCTGACTCTTGAAAACAATGACAAGAAAATATATTCTTGATTCAATAGGATTTTTCCCTGAATCAAAAGGAAATCTGCTTAAATTAAGAGGCTCGGTTCTCGATTCAAGCAAAAATTGAATCAAGAGTATGTTTTTTCATGTCAATGTTTTTAAGAGTCTGGACTCAAGATCCAATTTGTTTTTTTTCCAGTGCACCTAAAATTTTCAGGTTAAATTCTCGATAGTACTTGCGAAAAAATTCAGTAAAAACATGGTCCCAAGGTATGCGTACAAGTTTTTCTGCTATGACACATTGTTTCCAAAAGAATTAAAATTGCGTTTACGGCGTTTTTGCGTTGCACGGCAGAACTATCCTCAAAAATACATACTGTATCCAAGGCACTTTGACAACATTTCAGTACTCTTACGGCGGACTCAAGATCCAAGCGACTTTTTTTCCAGTGTATGACAATCGAGAATTTTTAGGCATCTCAAATTGGTCGATTTCATTTCACGGTGAAGTTTATTTAGATGCTTCACAGTCAAGAAATAAGGTGTCTGGTCGAGTCAGAGGTCAGAACATTCAAAGATGAAAGTAGAGAATTTTTAGCCATCTCAAATTGGTCTATTTCATTTCATGGTAAAGTTTTGTTAGATGCTTCGCAGTAAGGAAATAAGGTGTCTGATCAAGTCAGAAGTCAGAAGATGCAAATATGACAATGGAGAATCGGATTGCATTTTGCGAAATGGAACCAAGAGCATTCAAATGTCGCTGAGATTGTGCAACTTTTTTCAACTAGGAAATGTTGACTGATCATCTGAACAAGTTTAATCTTCACTCCCAATAGACTATAAATTTAAGACGAAAATTACCTTTGAAAATACATTTATTCATGATTTTAGTAAGTTTGTTGCAAATATTCTATGTTGCATAATGCTAGCAAAATTGGAATGATCTTGGTTCATTTTTGCAAAATGCAATCTAATTCTTCGGCGTCTGTAATTGGTTGATTTAATTTTTAAGTTGAAACTACTAAGCAAACTTGCAAAAGGATATCCGTGGTTTCTAAATTGAACAATTTTTGGAGAAAATGAAAAAAATTACCTAATTGGCTAAAATACTTGTTTTCAAATGGGAATGCCACGCAACGACGCGACATCACGAGATGGTGCATTTTCTAACTTTTCGTTCCAAATTTCTAATATTGCCCATACCAGAAACCATTATAAAAATACTGTGATACTATCTTGTTATCACGTACTTTCAGGTGAAGCAATAAAATTTTCTCGTGAAAATTTACCATTAAACGGGCTATTTGAAGAGGGGTGTGACAGCGTAAAGGCATGTTTTGAGAATAGGTACATGAAATATATTTTGATTTCATTGACAGTTCTTCATATTTCTGTTCAAAAATTTAACCATTGTTCTACATACCATGTGTCACAAAAACGGAGTCGTGCGATGAGGGTCGCAGAAGTGAGGGTAAGAAACAAAAGATTTTAAAAATTTTAAGATTAATTTAAGAAATTTTAAGATTAAGAATTTTAGATTTAATCTAGGTGGATACGTCCTTCTTCCACAAAATTGCTCAGTGATGCTCGTTACAGCAGTATTTTTACAGCCAAGTGGCACGCATGTTAGATGAAAAATTGAAAATCATAGTTTGTGCCCTCACTCATAGTTTTTAGCATGAGGTGGCACCCTGCGCTGGGGAAGGTGGCTCAAAACCTACTCTCTTTTTCCACTGAGCCGATATTCAAATGCCAATTAAAGACGTTTCATAAGCAATTTTGGTAAAGTCGCTCGGTGGTAAGATGTGAAGCAAAATTATCCTGTCGAAAACTCAATTTCTGAAAATTTGACGATTACGCTTTTCTTCCAAAAAACCCTTTAATTGCTTTTGTGCGGTCAATGTTATACTGTCGTGTTGAGAAAAAACAACGCATGAGCATTTCTTGTTCTTACACTGATTTCGTGGGTGCGACAAGCTCATCGATAGGGAAATCTTTCGGAGCTTTTACGATCGCAAGTGAAAGCGGAGTGTGGAACTCGTGCAAAGTGCCTTCAATTCGGTAGCTATGTTATGTTAGCTACTCAGGCGTTAAAAGAGTTGTATCCAGAATTCTGGCCGCGTCGTAGTTTTAATTCTGCTATAAAGTAAACCCATGTTCGGGGTAAAAGTTCATTTAAATGTTTCCGGAGGATCCCACGATATACTACTCAGTGTTCAAGAAAGATATGAACATTTTCCTTTGATTTTTACAGATAAAATGGATCTAACTGCGTACTTCCTGTAAAATCAGTGGAAAAAATAATTCAGACGTTCCCTGAATGAAAATGTGAATGATATCAAGGAAATTTGGCAATATTTGAAGTCTCATACGACATTTTTCCTTTGCATGACAGCATGAAAAAAGTATGACCGAACGATGGAAAAAAGGAAGAAAAAAACCTCTCTTTATCCTCCCTTTTCCAAGAGCAAATGTTTACGGCCTTTGAGTGGTCTCAGTCATAAAAAAAGTATGACCACACGAAAAAAAGAAAAAATGAAAAAAACCTTCATCCTTGTTTCCCCTTGAATTCACGTCCCTCCGTTAAAAATATGTACAAGCAAGAAAGCTCTCTTGCTAGTAAGTCAGGCACTTTGATGCGTTTTTATTTTATTGTAGTATATGGTTTGCTATTTTATAATACGTTGAAGATAGAGTTAATATTCTGAAATACATACATAATGTAATAAATTCAACTCAACCATTCTCTGGTCCGGCTAAATCTTCCCCTATGTTCGGTTTTGTAAAAGCCACGCATAAAGCATCTTCGTGCGTATCAAATAAGTGTTCAAGCATGGTAATGCGACACCTCGAAACAACATTGTGTTTCGATTGCAACTTGTTTTTTTTGGGTTTTTTTTTGGTTTTTTTGGTTTTTTTTTTTTTTAAAAAAGAAGCTACTCAACGGCAATTCCTAGAAACTGTCGTATATTTCCTTTTCCGGGCGAAGAAAATTCTGTGAAAACTCGAAGGAATGATATTGATTTTTTCTTCTTTAAAAAAATAAAACATAAGCGAAAATTGCAAAACACCACAAACGAGATACGTGGTTCGGAAGTTTCATAGTTGATATGCGGAACGGATGTTACTTCATTGTGGAGGAGGGGTGAGGTAAACAAATCAGAGAGAAAAGAGAGGAAAGAAGAAGAGGAGGAAAAGGGAAAAAGAGGAGAAGAAAGTGTATGAAAGAAGAGGACGACCGGAGGTACACCTACGCTTTTGATACTTGATTTCCCACATTATTTGCAATGTCTTGGAACGACAGTTAGCAAACAAACGAAAGTTCGGGAACTCGAAGAGCTCGAAAAATGCTGCGATAACTTTCGAACTGATTTCAATTAGCGGGAATCTACAAGAAAAATGAAGTCTCGCCGGAGCAAAACCTGAGGGATAAGAAACTCGGAAGGAAAGAGGGAGCGACGGATAACTTTTATTATTGTGCAAGCGACCTCATCTGCTCTGGTTCCAATGTTGTTAGACTACATATATAGACTATATATAGGAAGTGGTAATAGTGCCGATATAATGCTCCCTCTGTTGAAATACCGAATTCCGTTTTCTCGGGAAATAATGCGCCAACGCGACTATCGATCTACCAACAGCTCCTTTCGTTGCTCCTCTGGTGTAAGGGCGTATCTTGATTTCCACATGAGCCCCAGAAAGCATTGAGCTATACGGATGATAAGGTTCACGTGGACATTGATAAACACTCCTGCGTCGGAGGATCAAAGCTTTGTAGAGCTCCCCGAAATTATCTCAGATCATCGGAGTGAAGTTCCTTGAAAACTTTTCGACTCGGCAACTTGTGAATTTTAAGTTTTCCTGGACGCGAACGGGAAATCATTTTGTCTCGATGTTTCCTACGAACATTCAAATAATAATGCTCCTACGATGAAGGTCCTTGGCTCTCGAGAAATTGAACCCTTCAGTAGTCTGCCGGTATGAGAAATACGACGTATATGTACAAATTCTATCGCTGCTGAATATTTACTGATGACACGTGTATATTCTGGTAGTTTCAGGGAGATTCATACGCATTTTTTTTCCATCTGGAAATCTATGAGGACATTTTTTCATTGCCTACTTTTCTTAAAAATAAATATTTTTTCTAGGGAAGTTTGACCATTTTTTATTCACACTGCGGTTTTTCCGGATAAAATACGATTTTGTCGGGAAACTTGGGGCTTTATTTTCTAATTTTTTTTCTTTTTGTGTAGACTTTCAGTTGGAATCTTATCTAGGAGGTCTGAAAGTCTCAATGATAAATATTGAAACTTTTCTAGATACAAAGTTAGTTATTTTATTAGAAAAAGTGCCGTTCAAGCTTCCGGATGTTGCCAAAATCATATTTTTCATTCATTTATTTTTTTAAAAACAAATTTTATTGCAAAATATCGGAACTGCAACAGTCATCATATGTCTTGTATCTATCTGTACGAGTTAGAATTACAAAGGCCTGCTTAAACAAAGCAACGTTAGCTAATACACATCAACTGAAAGACCATGAATTTCGCAATGCTCTGTCTTTTTTAATTATAAACAATTCTTCGTTTTTTTGTCTTAAGAAAAAGTCTACTTTTTTTGTTGAAAATCATTTTTGGCACATAAAAAATGTTAAAAATTCACTCCCGAACGCCCAACTTGCGAAGCACACACAGGACACACACACATTTTCAAATTTACCGTAGTTAGTTTCCTCTTTGTCACCATCAGCTTTTCCTTGGGTATGACTGGAAACTAGCAAACATAAAAATCTGTCCACAGACGTGGTATGTGTGAGAATCATAAAAACAAGATGGACGAAATGTGCTTCTTGGGTACATTTTAAACTTTCCTAGTGTGCTTTATCTTTAATCATGTACTTT